TATATAAAGTTTCTCTTCTTCTTCATCTGTGTCATCTCTTTCTCTTTTATCTCCACTAAGTCACTTGCTGAGCTATCAGGAAATAATCTGCATACACACTCTTGTCCCAAAATTTAAGTGTGCAAGTGACAAGACTGCCAAAATACACTGCTCTAGCAGTTTCACCAAAACAATATAGTAGTTGTAGGAGAAGTCTGTAGGGAAATTCTTATAGTTCAATAAGTGTATGTTTGGTACTTGGAGTAGTTGGAAATTCCTGAGATGAGGGTAATTTATATAAAATTTATAGGTCTCTCTGCTCTTCTTATGATAATACATAGTACCTTATCCCATCACAAGTAACCAATTCAACAAGACTACACCTGCACTCTCCTGCACAAGAAGATTTTAAAGTAGTCACAGATATACTAGTTTGAGATTAGGCTTGAGCAGGATTTTCCAATCCTTAGTTTCATATGGGAAGCCTTTAAATAAGCCACACACTATATTTGCTTTTTGGAGATCAACCTAACTAAACATAGAGAAGCTCAATACCAGTAGTCTTGTCCCTCAGTGATGACTTTTTTGAACAGTCACTAAACAAAGCAAAATATAAAATGGCCCTCAGTACTGTGCCATCCTTTCTAGAAATGACAAAAAATGAGGACTTCACAGAAACATGGTAAGATTTGTATGAACTAATTCAGTAAAATAAGGAGAATCAAAAGAATACATAACGAAGATCAATAAAAGGAAATCAAACTTTAAGTAACTGAAAAACCAATGATGGTATTGGAGGATAATAAAGCTGTCGGATTATGGTAACCACATTAGTTGTTTTTCTTTGTTAAAAGGGAAGGTTCAATATAAGGTGGGGAAGGGGGTGTTTCTTCCCTCCAGAAATGAGACTGTGATAAAATACAAAAAGCATCAATGAAACATCATTTTTTAAAAATTAATTTTTAAAGCAGAGCAACTTTATAATCAAAGCTTACACAGCAACATTTGTTGTTAAGGTTGAAGAGGTAATGTTATCAAGAACTTGTTAAGACCTAAACTGAATCAACATATATTTTGACATTATGTGATTTTAGAGAAATGGGAATAGGAATAGATGGTGAAAAGCATGTTAGAGAATATGAATCAGGAGTAAAGAATGAGAGCAGTCAGAGGCAGAAGTTTCATACCTATACATAGGGTGCCCCAAAAATCTGAGCAGAGTTTTAAGCCTTGATAGTTTAAAACTGCACTCAGATTCTAGAAACACCTTGGATCTAAGTTCAAATAGCATCTCTGGTGATTACTTTGGATGTGACCTTAGACCAATCTCTGAATTTCCATGGGCCTCGGCTTCCCCATCTACAAAATAAAAGGGCTGGCTTATATGGCTACTGAGGATCCTCCCTCCTATCTCCAGAAGGATGATCTTCAAATCCCATAAACAGAAATTAACTCATTAACCAATGTGGAAGTCATTCCTGAATCAGCTGTCTGTGTGTGGTCAGATCAACAGTTTGTTAGAATAAAGATCAAAGTTAACACAAAAAGGAGAAGAAAGTATCACATATTAACTAGAACTCCAACCTGACCTATTTAAACAAGTTTTTGAAATATGTAATATGGACAAATGAAGGAAACTCCCAACATCTTTACTCTACATCCTCTTCTGCTCCCTCAAAACCACATTCCTAGTTCAGCCTTTTCCACTTCTCTCCTGGACTACTACAACTGTTTTTGTGTTGGGTTTCCCTGACCCAAGTCAATCCCATGCCATCTTCTACTCATTGGCTGAAGTGATTTTTCTAAATCATAGGTCTCTCCTACTCAAAGAGCTGCAGTGACTCCCTATGACCTCCAGGATCAAATCTAAAGAGCTGTTTGGCGCTTAAAGCTCTCCACAATCTGGCATATTCTTACCTTTCCAGTCTTTTTATACCTTACTCCTTTCCAGGCACTCTACAATATAACTATACTGACTTTCACTTCCTGGAATATGACATTTCACCTATCTCTATGCCTTTGCACTGGCTGTCTACCACATCTGGAACATTCTGTTCCCTTTCCCCTTCCTTTTAATTTCCCAGGATTCTTTCAAGATTCAGCTCAACTAAACTCATTATCTTTTTCCCCAAACCTCCCTTTTTTCAAACTTCTTTATTACTGTCAAGGTTATTGCCCTCCTCCCTGAATCCCAGCCCCAATGTTATCCTCAACTTTTCACTTTCTAACTCCCTATATCCCATCTATTGAAAAGGTCCGCAGATTTTATCTTCCTTTTTCATGTATGCCCTCTTCTCTCCTCTGACACTGCCACTACCCTAGTGCAGTCCCTTATCACCTCACACCTGGACTATGACAGTAGTCTGCTGGCTGATCTTTCTGCCAGAAGTCTCTCTTCAGTCCATCCTCCACAAAATCGTCTTCCTAAAAAAAGCATGCCTGATCATGTCAGCCCTGCTCCCCTCCCCTCCCCTCCCCGAAACTCAAATGGCTTCTTATCACCTTCAGGGTCATATAGAAAGGATGTGGCTAAAACTCCTTAAGAAAGCCAAATGCCAATGCTGCCTCCCTTTCTTCTTCTTCAACTCTCAAACTCTCTGCAATCTGGTTTCTAACTTTTTCATCCAACTGATACCATTATCTTTGAAGTTACCAATAATCACTTAATTGCTAAATCCAATGGCCTTTTCTCAATCCTGCACCTCTCTATAGCCTCTGACCTTCTTAAGGAGTTTTAGCCTCTTTTCCTAGATACTCACTCCTCTTGGTTTCTGTACCCTCTACTCTCCTGGTTATTTTACCTATCTGACCAATCATTCTCAGATTCCCTTCATGGATTTTCATCCACGTCTTGCCCAGTAAATGTGTCTCCCCCTCCTCAAGGGAAACGAGGAAAGAGAAAGAGGGAGAGGTAGAAAAGTGGAGAGGAGTGGATAAGGGGAATAAAAGGGGTAAGGAAAGAGAGGAACTGGCTCCCCAATCTGGCTCCCAAATGCATCACCTGACTTAAATTAACTGCTTTCTCCAATTACCAGGTCTGATAGCCTTTTCTCACTCATCTTTCCTCTGTTAACACTGTACACTGATGACTTGCTCTCTTCCTGAACACTCTACACTTCTCTTCTGGTTCTACTTCAAGGTCTCCTTTGCTTAATCATCAACATATCCTATTGATGGGGTTGGGATCTGGGCCCCAGAAAGGAAGAACCCTGGACTTTCCCACCTGGCCAAAACTGTGGCACTTGCCTGAGGCCATAATCCCATCAACTGGCCTTCCATTGTCTTACCTCCCTATGGCCCCCAGCCATTTCCCACCCTTATTCCTAGCAAGGCTCTCTTCTCCCTTGGCCACGAGGTCGAGGTCCAGGTCCCAGGAGTTCTGTTCACCTCAGCTTACTGGCCACTCCTAGGTCCCCCCCACAGTCTTTCTGTATATAAGGTCCACCTTGTCTCCATTAAGACACTTAGATTTTTACAATCTAGCCACAGCTCAGATTCTTAAAATCTAGTCATGGGCTCAGATTCTTAAAATCTAGCCACTGCTTGGATTCTTATAATCAAGCCAATAGCTTACTAATGTTCACACTCCTGAAGAGTCTGCCCAATACGACAGATGTTTTAATAAACCTTGTCTTTGGCTGAAAGAAGGCTTGGGTCGAATTCTTTCGGGCAGGACCCGCGTGTTGTGATTTTGGGGTCCCAGCACCCTGAACCCCTAAATTGCATCACTAGCCCTGTATGAATATACACCAAGGTTCTGTTCAGAATCCAGTTCTCTCTAGGTAACCACAATCAGCTCACTTGGATTCACCTATCATCTTTCTGAAGATGATTCCCTGATACCTGTATCTCTAGTCCTAGTCTCTCTCCTGAGCACCAATCACCAACTGCTTATTGGACATTTCCAACTGGATGTCCCATAAGTATTTAAAATTCAACCTGTCTAAAACAGAACTCATTATCTTTACCCTCAAAACGAGTCTCTCTAATTCCCTTGTTTGCTGTGACCACCACCATCCATCCCTCCAAACACCCAGGTTCACAACCTCAGTCACCTCAGGTCTTCCTCCTCCCTCGGAACCCCTCATAGCCAAATCTTGTCTATTTGTACATCTCTCGCTTTTGTCATCTTCTTAACACTCACTCTCAACTCTCTGTCTAGTCCCTCCTCCCTTAAATGAAATAATGAATAAAAGGGGTTTGTCCAAGCCCCTAATTAACTGGTAAGCTCCATATCAGCAGGGATCCCGTTTCCTAATACAGTAAAGAGAAAGTTGGAAGAGAGAAGAAAGGAGAAGGAGAAAAGAGGAAGAAAGCAAAGAGAGGTGGGGAGAGACGGGGAGAGAAAGGGGGAGAAGGGGAGTAAAGGATGGAGAAAGGGAAAGGAGGGAAGAGAAAGAAGGGGGAGAGGAGTGGAAAGGGGAGAGAAAGGGGGGATCTGGAGGAAGGGGAAAAGTAGGAGGAGGAGGGAAGTTAACATGGGGGACAGGGAAAGAGGAAGGGGGGAAGAGGGAAAAGAGGAATGTGAGTACGGGTAAAAGAAAAGGGGGAAGGATGGAGTTGGAGGGCAATAACGAAGTGTTCCCTAGGTGCCAGCATTGGGACTCAGGGCTGTGCATAAGCGGGCGCCTGAGAAATCTCGGCGGAGGCTCAAGTCGGGGTGGGGGCACCTCTAACTGCCTGGAGCCCCCTGATCCCCGCTCGTGGGGGCAGAATGACGCCGGCCAGAGCTCGGGGCCAGGGGGTCCAGCCCGGAGCTCAGGCGCTCCCTGCCCGAGCTAGGGAAGGAGTGGACCCACACCGCCCGGTCCCGGGCCGCAGCAAGCGCAACGACCCTTCCGCTCCGCCGCGGGCAGACCCCGGCCCCACACGTCGAGGAGCGGCGGCTCTGTCCGAACCTCCTTTAAACAACCAAGCAGCCACGGTCGGAGGCCGCGGTCCCCTCTTCCCCAGCCCTTACGACCGCCCAGCCCCACGCCCACTCGGCTCCCCCATTCCCCACAAACGCGTTCTGTAAATACCTGGAGCTCCACCGCGCCGCCATAATGCTCGAACACGCAACTTCCGGTTCCCCTGGCCCTCCCGCCCTACCTCGAGAGTAGGGGTGGGTGGGTGGATGTTGAGAGGAAATGAGTGTTAATTGATTTCAAAACCTGAATGTGGAGCAGCCGTCGGTATTTTCAGATCTGGAGTTTTTCTTTTTTCTTGTTTTAAAATAATCCCAAATCTCGACACCAATCTAGAGAAGCAGCCTCCTCCCAAGCCACCGAACTTCCTACCTCACCAAGATGGTCACTTAGGGAAGTGCTCAAAGAAACTACAAGCTCCAGCATACACCAACGTAGAGGGAAGAGTTCGCGCAGTGCATGGTGGATGTTGTAGTGCAGCCTGACCGCAATGCTCGCTGGGAATCAGAGTTCCCCTTGTTACCTCTAGATGGGCTGGCTATTACGTAAGAACTGGGGTGCTCAGCTTCAAAGCTATCTTGCTGTGTGGTTGAGAAGGTTGGTAGTGGTGGGGAGATACTTCTCCAGGAAAATCCTGGAAATGTCGGACAGCTTATTTACTCCCTCTGCCTTTCGTAATTAGAAAGCCTGTATAGCTGCAGGACCGAATTCAGCCATGCAGGAACACGTGACAAAAAGTTACTGAGGCAGCACTAACTGGCAGTCTGGGTTACTGGCTAGACTGGGTTTGACTTGAAGTTGTGAAGATTTGTTCAAATCCTACCTCTCACTTTACTAGCTGGGCGACCCTGAGCATGCCAGTTATATTAACCTTTATTTCCTGTAAAGTGGGAACAGTAATCTTAACTACTTATCTCAAATGAGATCATGTATGTAAAGTGCTTTGCAAATTTGAAAGTTACAATCTAAACAAAAAAACCCTGTTTTTTTGTGTGAAAAGAAATCTGCTCAAGGGTAATAGGGAATGAAGGGGGAAACAGCATTTTGAGGTCTCAAATTGTACTATAAGGCAGTAATCATCAAAATACATTTGATATTAGTTTAGAAAAATCAGTGGAAAAACTAGATAAGGAAGAAATAGTAATTAATTGATTTGGAATAGTAAATGATAAAAACCAAAACGAGTTACATTCGAAACTTGAAACTCGTTCTGCAGAAATTAAATTTAGACCACCATCTTACAAAATATTCCAAAGTAAGCTCAATATGGATACCAACCTGAATGTTACAGCTGTCTCTCTCTCTCTCTCTCTTTTTTTCTCTCTCTCTCTCACATGGACACACACACCACACAAAACATCTCCCCTCCAAAAAAAAAAATCTTTAGAACAACCAGAACAGCCATGGCTAGGGAAAGAATTCTGAACCAAGGGATAGAAATGATATTAAAAGATGAAAGAGATTATTTTGACTATAATATTGAAAAGTTTTTGCACTAACAAATCAATGGAACTAAGTTGACAAAGAAACTTTTGTTTGGGAAAAATCTTTGCCTCTAATATTTGTGATCAAGATGCAACATTCAAGATATATAGGAAGCAAACACAAATATTTAAGACCTAGCTATAATTTTCCAATAAAAAAAGTGATCAATGGATATGAACAAAAAGTTTCAGAAGAATTGTAAGCTATTAAATATATGAAATGTTGCTTCACATCACTAATAATAAATTCAAATCCAAACAATCTGCAGGTTTCACCTTATATCCAGCAAATTGGTAAAGATGACAAAAGATAAGCAAAAGAGGCTATGGGAAGATAATACACCAATATACTGTTGTTGGAACTATGAATTAGTCCAACCATTAGTCCAAGCAATTTGATATTATATTTAAAAAGTGACTAAATATGTATAAGAGGATATATTACTGCTAGACATATATTCACAAGGAAATAAAGTACAGAAAGAAATTTCCTATATACATCAAAATAGTCAGGGTAGAATATGTTTTGTAGTAGCAAAGAACTGGAAACAAAGTAGCTGTCCACTTGGGGAATGGCTACACAAACTATTGTATATTAATGTAGTGGAAGTGGAATATTTGTACAAGAAATAGTAAATATAAAGAATTCAGAGAAGCATGGGATTGATGCTTATCTGACTGATGCAGAGTAAAGTAAACAGAAGATTAGAAAAATAATATATAAAACTATAGCAAAGAAATGAAAAGAACAACAGAAACAAAAACAATGGCGTAATGACCAACCTTGACCCTAGAGAAGAATTTTTAAAATGTACCTTCTTTGCTTCATTGTAGAGGTCAGCTGTCATGACTGTAGAAGACTATACATTCTCTCCTTCTGGGTCAATGTGTTGGTTAGTTTTGCCGAATTCCTTTTTTTCTTTTTTAAGAATCTTCGTTACATGGGTTGGATCATTGAATGAGGGTGAAGGAGTCAGATATGAAGGTGATAGAATATAATAATAATAGTAATAGCTACCATTGATATAATGCTTTACAAATATTATCTTATTTGATCTTACCAAAAACGCTGGGAGGTAGATGCTATTTTTATCCCCGTTAAATTAATAACATATTTATAGACTCCACCTGCTATTAATTTTTTGAAACACAGATAAGTATGTTGTGATGCCCCAAGGCCATGCTGCTGGCTGTTAAATCCTTTTGGTTTTAGGTTGGCTCCCCAAAACCTGTCTCTGCCTCTCTCTTTCTCTCTGTCTTTGTCTCTGTCCCTCTTCTTTTCCTTGGTAATTAATGTCACCATCCGCTATTTATATTCTAGGTTTCTTTTGACCAGATCCACTAAGGAAAGGGATTCAGGTTTCCAGTTTCTCTCTTAACTTCCTGTCATTGAAATAAACATTTTCCTTATTGAAGAAATTAAAGGAGTTTTAAAATAAAAAAATAAAAATTGCAAAGTTTTAAATTATTTAACCTTAATAGGAGTAGCTAGCCCTGGCACTTGGTGAAAATGCAAATTGATCCAGGCATTTTTCTTCCTCAACCCTTCTTCAGTTTATAGACCCTATTCTTTTATTTTTCTTTTTAAAAAATTTATTTATTTATAGCTTTCAACATTCACTTCTATAAGATTTTGAGTTTTAAATTTTCCCTCCCTCCCATTTCTTCCCCTCCCCTCCCCCACGATGTAAAATCCAATATAGGCTCTATATATAATTCATGTTAACCTTATTTGCCCATTAGTCATGAGGTAAAGAACAATTGGAACTAATGGGAGGAGCCACAAGAATGAAGCAGTAAAACAAAACAACAAAGAAAAAGGAGAGCAAATAGTCTACTTCCATATACATTCGGACTCCATATTTCTTTTTCTGGGTGTGGATAGCAATTTTCATCGTAAATCTTTTGTAATTGTCTTAGATTCTTGCATTGCTGTGAATAGCCAAGTCTATCAAAGTCAGTCATCCCATAATGTAGCTGTTACTATGTACAATGTTCTCCTGGTTCTGTTCATTTCACTCTGCATCAGTTCATGTAAGTCTTTCCAAGTTTTTTTGAAGTCTACCAGCTCATCATTTCTTATGGCACAATAGTATTCCATTACATTCAAATACCACCATCTGTTCAGCCATTCTCCAATTGATGGGCATTCCCTCAATTTCCAATTCTTAGTTGCAACCCTTTGACCCAGTAATACCACTTCTAGATTTCTTTGGGATACAGATCTAGAAGTGGTATTGCTAGGTCAAAGGGTATGCACAATTTTATAGCCCTTTGGGCATAGCCCCAAATTGTTCTCCAAAATGGTTGGATCATTTCACAACTCCACTAACAATACATTAGTGTCCCAATTTTCCCACATCTTCTCCAACATTTATCAGTGTCCTGTTTTGTCATATTAGCCAATCTGATAGGTACGATGTGGTACCTCAGAGTCATTTTAATTTGCATTTCTGTAATAGTGATTTAAAACATTTTTTCATGTGACTATAGATAGCTAGTTTCTTGCTCTGAGAACTACCTGTTCATATCCTTTGACCATTTATCAATTGGGGAATGACTTTTATTCTTACAAATTTGACTCAGTTCTCTATATATTTTAGAAATGAGGCCTTTATCAGTCACACTGGTTATAAAAAATCTTTTCCAGTTTTCTGCTTCCCTCCTAATTTGGATGCATTGGCTTTATTTGTGCAAAAACTTTTCAATTTAATGTAATCAAAATTGTTCATTTTGCATTTCATAATGTTCTCTATCTCTTGTTTGGTTGTAAATTCTTCCCTTCTCCATAGATCTGAAAGGTAGACTATTCCTTGTTCTTCTATTTTGCTTATACTATCAGTCATATCTAAATTGTGTATCCATTTTGACTTTACTTTGGAATAGGGTATAAGATGTTGTTCTATGCCCAGTTTCTGCCATACATTTTTCCAGTTTTCCCAGCAGCTTTTTGCTAAATAGCGATTTCTTATCCCAGAAGCTAGAGTCTTTGGATTTATCAAATAATAGATTAGTACAGTCATTGACTATTGTGTCCTGCATACCTAACCTATTCCACTGATCTCCCACTCTATTTCTTAGCCAGTACCAAGTAGCTTTGATGATGGCTGCTTTATAATACAATTTAAGATCAGATATAGCTAGGCCACCTTGAATTGCATTTCTTTTCATTAGTTCCTTTGATATTCTGGACTTTTTGTTCTTCTAGATGAATTTTGTTATTATTTTTTCTAGCTCTATAAAATAATTTTTGGTAGTTTGATTGGTATGTCACTGAATAAGTAAATTAATTTAGGTAGAATTGTCATTTTTTTATATTAGCTCAGCCTACCCACGAGCAACTGATATTTTTCCAATTATTTATATCTGACTTTATTTGTGTGAAAGTATTTTGTAATTGTGTTCATATAGTTTTTGGTTTTGTTTTGGCAGGTAGATTCCCAAATATTTTATAGTATCTACAGTAATTTTAAATGGAATTTCTCTTTCTATCTCTTGCTGCTGGGCTTTGTTAGTAATATATAGAAATGCCGATGATTTGTGTGGGTTTATTTTATACCCTGCAACTTTGCTAAATTTTTTACTTAATTCTCTAGATATGCCATCATATCTGCAAAGAGTGATAGGTTTGTTTCTTCTTTGCCTGTTCTAATTCCTTCAATTTCTTTTTCTTCTCTAATTTCTACAGCTAACATTTTTAGCACAATATCGAATAACAGTGGTAATAATGAACATCCTTGTTTCACCAACCGATCTTATTGGAAATGCTTGTAATTTATCCCCATTACATGTAATGCTTACTGATGGTTTTTGATAGATGCTATCTATCATTTTAAGGAAGACTCCATTTATTCCTATGCTCTTTAATGTTTTTAATAGGAATGGATGGTGTATTTTGTCAA